CCCATGAATTGATTTAAAATTTTGCAGGTAGCTTTTTAATAGTAACAGGAATCTATAATAACAAATTCAACATGCTCGCATCGTTTAAGTATATAGCCTATGCTTCCTTAAAGGCATAATTAAATTACCGTTTCGAAACAATCTCAAAGCATCTGTGTGGAACGCATTGCTGCTATAAACCGTAGAGGCGTCCAGGTAGCTGGTCACCTGTGATAATTGTTCTCTGGGACCGAACACGCAGTCCTCTTTCGGCGCTGGTCCACTTCGTGCGAATTCCAAACACCTGACCCCCAGGGGACCGAAGAAATTATCTTGCGCGCTGACCGGTATCGGTAGACACTCCGGGTGCTACGGAGATTAGAATTTTTTTTAGCGAATGGGAGTAAAGGGATCGGCTTACAGGGATAGTTACCGTGAATTCCGGTGGCTGGAAGCCTGTGCCGAAGTTCAGGCAACACTGTGGTATGCTACCATTGAAACCTCTGCTCTGCCCAGTAGCTACAATTCACATTTCATTTCACCAACAATAATTATGACTGAAGTTTCAGAATCAGTATCACATAAAATTTTACATCAAGAAGACAAAAAAAAACTGTTTTACAGAATTAGTTATGTACATATTTTAGAGAAAGTCATACAAAATTTTAGAAAACTGAATGTACTGAAAGTGAATAATGATTATAAAAAATGTCAAACAAGTCATTTCGACCCCCGTTGATAGATCTAGTGTTAAATAATAATTTAATTATATTTAGTTTTACGAATTGTTATCCAATGGAAACAGAAGAAATCTGATATGAAGTCAGACCTGTTATATCGTGATCAACGAACTGTCCCCACTGCATGAGCATGTGAGTGACGGAAGCCAAAGGAACATCTTTATCTTCGTGAATCACTGCGCTGACCAGTCTCGCACTGGGGAGCGGAGCTCCCGTCACAGACTTCCTAACGCTCTGAATACCGTCGTCGTAAACCGGAGGCAAGTATCTGAACAAAAAGTCCCGGGGTCCTCTTCATTACGTTAACAATTAAATTTCCTCGAAAGAGGAAACGCCTTAATGAGACTCGAACGTCTTTTGTTCCGCCTTTTAATTATCTACCTCTGCATGGTGGACATAGCGGAGCCCCACCAGAGATGCTGCAGGTTGTTGCAGCTACCGTCGGACGTTCTGTACCTGAAACTGGCCGGTGGACAGTCGGGCACGCCTCTGTTTGGACAGCCACGGTGAAGTGGATTGCTTTGACTCCGACGAGAAAGCAGCAAGTCCGTGGAGGCGTCCGGGAACCTTCGCGGCAAACGAATCGGTGGGATATTTTAAGATTAAATAAGACCAGGACAAAGCAGACACGCTTACTTCTTCTTGAACATCGCGGTGCCCTGGAGCACGGCGAATCCGTACTTCGCGAGCGTTCTTGCCTCTTCTGTTTGATCGTTGAAGACGGCCACGTGCCTTGCGGGATTGTCGGAGCCGAGGTAAAGCCCTGCACGAGTTTGATGTTCAATTTAATTCCCGTTTGTCAGGATTCATGAAGGCGAATGATTAATTAAGAAGAATTTAATGAAGAACCGTCGGGACTTCAGATTATAATTTATTCTTTGTTGAATAAGAAATATTAATAAATTCATGAATTAAATAGCCTGATATTTTATCACTTCCTTTTTTTATTCAATGATTCCTTTTGTTCTTTTCTTTATTTTAAGGGTGGAAACTCACCCATATAATAGAGCATTGGCTCCTTCACGGTGTACAGATCTTTCATAGCGTTCAGTCCAAAATAAGCCGCTTCCAGCACGTCCTCTTCGTCAGGCTCCTTCTTACCCGCGTAACTATCGTTATACTTGTTTATCCCTAGCGGAGTTGCTCCCCCTCTTCCATTATCCTCCGCGGTTGTCACCGGAAACACTTCTTCCCCAAGATTTCTCTCCAAATACTTTTCCTCGTCCTCCTTTCCCTGCGGGTTCCGATTTCTTTCCCGGATGCCTGTCGTCATCGAAAATCGATTCTTTCCGGCCGCGTTATCAGCTGAACTTCCCTCAGAACTCCGATCGAACGGTTCGATCGATTCGCCCACTGGTTCGAATAATTCTCGCACGTGTAATAAAATTTCCTTGTACCGATTCGGATCCTCGGGGATGAATAACGTTTCTATCGGTTCTTCCGACTTTTCGTAATTTCTAATATCGTTTCTTGAATCGGGCAGTTTTGTGGTTGTGTCCAGCGTTTCATGGTTCGTGGCTGATCTTGATAAGGCGCCGGAAAAAAGGACGAGGAGGACGCTGGAAAGAGTATTTCAACGTTCAAGTGTATCTCCTTCAATTACTTAATAAAACGTTTTCAAATGTTTTAGTCAAATCATTCCAAGAATTTCATCTTGACAAATTTATATTACAATGAAATACAT